CCCCCCCCCCCCCGCAATGCTATCCTTTTCATACTTTTGTTTCCATTCCAATATGTGCATCCACTTTTAAAATACTGTCCTTTATCCCTAGGAATCATTAGAGTTTGGTTTTTGTGGCTTTTTTCCTTTCGTTTTTCTTTCCTTTTCTTTAACAGCTAAAGAGGTTAAATAGTTTGGATAGGAGCTTCTCTGAAATCCTGTGTGGCAGAGAGCTCCCAAATCAGGAGCAGGCAGTGACGAAGTGACACAGTGCTCATTTCTCTCTTTTTGGGTAGGTCTGGGCTAGTGTCCCTAGAACTTCAAATCCATTCGATACACTGATCTGGTAGTTTCTGTTGGGTTGCCATAAACAGTCCATAAACCGCAGAAGAAGACACATTCCTCCATATAGCTGGGGAGGATATGACTCCCAGCAGTTTATGTAAATTGTTCCTCCTGTGCTAACTCAGGTTGTAATTTTCCACGTTAGGATTGCTCGAGGCTGTGCTTTCACTCCTCCGAGTAGAAGGACTCAAAGCATTTATGCTTACCTCAGGGCAGAGTCACCTCTGCATGCAGATGTAAGTTAAGGTGATGCTACTTGGTGAGTGCCACCTGCCAAACACTGTCTAATTTTTAAATAGCATCCAGGTTCAGCGGCTGAGCCCTGCTAAGCAGCCTGGCCAGCAGCCAGGCAGCCCTTCATTACCTGCCCAGGGGAAGATGAAGGCCGTTAGGTGCACACCAGGAGTTCATTAAGTAGCTGAAATACGGGCAAAAGGTTCAACTTAAAAGTTCTGGCATCATGATCTTCGGTGTTACACATTCTGTAATGTAATAGGTGTTACCAAAAGGTGTCGGGTGGGACACAGCTTATTTGGGAGGAACCTCAGGCTTTCCAAATCCACAGTTTTTGTTCATGTGACTGGCTCAGCTTTACTGGGAAGAATACATGTTAGATGTTTAATGTTTGTGTAGCTCTGATTTGGTATTATTACATCTTTGTTATAAAGTCACTAGGGACCTATCCTGATCCTTCATACAGCAGTAGACTGACAGGACTGGGTGATTTCCAGTGAGTGTTGAAGAAGAAGAGAGTTAGACAGGAATCTGCAATTGTCAGTTTTTATAAAGTGGAAGGCACTCTGGTTTTCTTCTCACTATGTTGCGGAGCAGTTCAGACTTTTGCAGCAAGTCTTGGAGGGTAAAAGGGCACCAGCTGGTGACTTCTCGGCAGTGTAACTTGGAATTGAATTTTGCTGTCTTGGGACTGAGAAGAAACTGTTTGTCCTTCATAAGATGTCTCAGTTCAATTGGGGAGTGGCAAAGAAGTGTTTTTTTGGGGGACCAAATAGACCTTCTGGAGGCAAGTAGAGGAGGTAGCCTTGTCCCACTGCCGACGTTTCTAGCAGCAAGCAGTTGCTGTTACACAGGTTTGTCTTCTTGGCTCCATAAGCTGAATTTGTTGTAGGAAAAGGCAGCATTGATGTGTTACTTGTTTTGATCTGTACTTTGAAGACTGAGGAATCTCCTGGTAATTGCATATGGACAGTAACTGGGGCTTGTTGCAAATCACCAGTTGTCAGAGCCACTCAAATTCCTGAGGGCCAGCCTTTCCCCAGGGCAGTGTTTCAGATTTATCTCTGATTCAGTAGTTTATACACTGGACTAAGCAATTTTGAGAGCTTTAATGTGTATTTTTAGAATCAAATAATTTGATTATGTTTTGATTTGTAAATTAATACACCTTTTCTAATTTCTGATAATTTTGTTTTCGCGTGATTTGATTGTTCTTTACCTTCTGGTGAGGGGACAGTATTTATATTTATATTTTACTGCCTTTTTTTTTTTAAGATGTTCTCTTGATGCATAATGCTTAGGGTTTCCATTATAAATGACACCCTGCACAGTGGTTTTGGTTTTGATACTGCATTATCTGTAACTTTTGAAAAAGAGAGAATGTGCAATCAGAAAATAAGTGATATTGACAAATTTATCTTTTTTTAAGAGGAATTTAAAGAGCCTGCTAAACAAGTTTGTGCTGTCAGACAAATAATCATTGTTATTTTTTGTAATTCCACGTCCTCTCTTTTCACTTTAAGGACTAATTGAGGTGTCTGCTTTACTCTCACAGTTTGGGTCATTGTCTAGACATCTCAGAGAAGTCCCTTGTCTAGTGTAAAATATCTCTTAGCTCTATGAACCTTGGGTAACAGAGCACAAAGGTGAAATCCGCTGTGATAAAAATGCAGTCAGTACAAGGTATCCATCAAGTTGAATGTGACAGCAGTAGTGGCTGAGGAGTGTAACCTGTGCAGAAGATGGGAAAAGGGCAGGTGAATCCCATTTGTCTTCCCTATCAGCTAACCTGAAAGTTGATAGCTGCTAGGTTTAAAGAACTGTAAGCCATACAAAACCAAATACATTCACAGATCTAAACCAAATAATTTTAAGCCTGTTGACTGTTAAGTGCATCCTTTAGAAGGAGTTTATTTCAAAGCAAAGCTTCTCCATGTGAGTAACACTACGATGAATTTTACCTTCTGTAAGTAGCAGGAATTACAAAATGAGTTTTTATATTTTTATTTTAAAAATCTCTTCTCCTGTAGAGCCTGGCCAAGTTAACAGATGGATTCAGGAATAGCTGTTGCATTACAGATTCTCTGCAGGATCTCCAGCACAATTCGAGTTCACTCAGCGACTCCTGTTTACCTCAACAACACTGCGATGCTTGTTCTCAGACTGACATCACTGGAGAGGTAGGTGTTCCTGTGCGAGAAATTTGCTGTAGAAAATAAGCTGCTTTTGTACTATAGTGATACATTGTTATTTCCTATTTTAATTTAAGAGGTGTTGGCTGTAGTAGAATGAAAAGTCCGAAACAGTGTTGGTGGCAAGGGAGTTCTGTTTGCGTATTGTCTCCAGAGCATGTGAGCAGCGCTCAGGAGTGTTGGGCTTTGCGACTCTGCTGTCTGAGTGTGGCACAGGGGTGTAGTGACCACAACAGTGAGAGGTACCATCAGCTCCCGGACTCAGCCAGCCCAGCAGAGCGCTTCTCACATCATCACTTTGGTGACTACAGGTTCATCTCTGAGTGACAGCTCTTGCTGAGGTGTCCATGGACCTCTTCTCTTCATGTTATCACCTCTGACTTACTGATACTTGTAATGATACAGGAAAGAAGGAAAGCAGTTTAGCTGGCTTAGAGTTGCAGGAGAGACTTGATTGTGCAACAGCATGAGAAGTTAGCATTCTGGTAGTAGTGATGGATGTATATATTTATCTTTTTTTTTTTTAACGGTGTGGTTTTCGTTGTGCTTGTTGTCGTCGTTCATATACATGAAAGATATAGAGCAGACGTCTGTTCCTTTCCTCTGTCTGAGACAAGGGGATTTGTTAGAGTCTTGAAGTATTTTTTTAAAAAGTAACAACACTTCTGATCCGATCTGATACTTTTATGCTCAAATATGCCTTTAAATATGGTATTTGAGAAGAACATATTAGCATCCCTTGAAAATAATTCTTTGTGAATGAAATTGTGCATTCCAAATAATAACTCTAAATAATAAATCCAAACATAGAAATTTGACTTGTACTGGTAGTATGGCAGCCTAGCTGTTTTTCAGCAATAAAACGTTTGCTTCTGTGGAGATTGACAACAAAGCAAGACTACAACCTGTTTGTAGTCCGTTAGTACCATAGTTTGGATGTTAGTCCACATTTGGTTAGAAATTTTTATTGGACTTTGTAACGTTTGAATAGTAGGCTTTTATTATGCCATTCCTCCTCCGTTGTGATGTTTGAGTGCTGACTAGGTGCCAAGCTGGATGTCTCCAGATGGCCTCTACCTAAGAGGAAATCTGTGTTTTTAAGAAGATACATCCCTAAAGAATCTAAGAAAGCTTAGCTAACGCTAGGCTGTCTTTCGGTGTGCTAGGTAGATGGTACCTTTGGGAGGTCATTTTTTCGGACTGATGGTGGATGTCATTATTGAATTCTAAAATGCATTACCAAAAGCAACGTAGCAGGTTTTTGCATTCACAGTACACCTTAAATGTCACCCAAGGCAAGCCAAGTACAGTCTGAAAATTGTGTTTATCAGAATAGATTTTATCGTTAGGAAAAAAAAATTTACATGATTATATAAGTGATTCTCCTGAATTGTTAGTAGTGGAAGGCGAGTTAAAAAGAGATCAATTAACGTGTGATAATGAAGAGAGCAAAAGCAGCAGTTAGATGAGAAATAAAATAGGGGCTTGGGTTATAACTATTAGACAGTACGCAGACTTCTCAAGAGGGAGCTGCTGATGCCCTGAGATGAAAAGATGCTGTAGAAACGGAGCCATGTACGGTAGGAGTTGTCACATAAATACACATTGTATGACTGGTTCAAGGAGCAGATGGTATTTTTGTAATAGTGTTTAAAATGCACTAATGATTTATGTGCTGGGTGACACATCACCATAGAGGGAAAGTAATCTGAATTACTTCTGAGAAAACTATCCATATAATAACTGTATCAAATAGTAAAATGTTTCAGTTATTTCTTTCTGTTTTAGGATTGGATAAAGTTGAAAAACTTTGACCATTCATCAATGATTCTGTGGATGTCCAGGATCATGACTTATGGAAATGCCTCATTTATCTTGTGTATTTTTAGCAATAAACCAGTTTTGTATTTCTGAAGCGTAAAATTGATTTTTATTATATTATTACTTAGAGCATTGAGATTTTTTTTTATTGAGTCCAGTAAGTGAGACTTTCTTTATTGTAAGAGTGTTTTTAAATTCTTATTTCTTTGTCTGTCTTCTCCCCCCCTCCCCGCCTTGCTCTTCAATTCTGCAAAAGTTTGGGTTTGATGACAAAACAAGACTTGTAGACAAAGTAAGACTGAACTGGCAATATGAAGAGGCCAAGAAAAGGTAATTAAAGATAAACTTTTGGTTTTTGTTTTCGCTCTTGTGATAAAATCCTCAAAGTAGAACTGGAACCAGCCATCTGCCTGAAATATCTTCAGGAAGACTAATTTGCTTACTCTTGAGTCGTTCACAAATAATAAAAGCTTATGTAAACATAGGCCTTTATCGTAAAATTATTATATTTGTTTGCAGAGATAAAGCTAAATGTCAGCCCTGTTCTACACTTGTATAAACACAAAATTACAGAAGTTTAATTGAACAGTTATACGTGTTTTCTCATTCTTCTCAAACCTCAATATAAACAGACTTTAAATTTATACTTACTACCCTGATCTGTCAGTATATTTGGAGTATTGCATACCTGTGTTCTAAGTTCAGTGTAATGAAATTGTGAATTCAGTGTGAAGAAAGAATGCAGAACTTCCTGTGAGATAAATGAAGATGTTGAGCTGAACAAAAGAGTACAGAAAAATAAATGTTGAGATTGAAAAAAAAAATTAAAGTAACATAAAAAAATACTTGAAATAGGTTAATTATTTACTAAGTCATTCAGTCTAATTGATTATCCTATTCCTTTTGTGGAGGTCGATCTTGCAGTGTTTTTTCATGGCTTTATTAAAATAATCTATTCTTCATTGGTACAATTTAAGGAATACTCTGTAATAGTATAATTCAGCAGGTCCTCATTTAACCTTATTGTTTTCGAACTATTTCCCACATATTCAGCATAATAACGTAGGTATAGATGTTTTCTTGAACATAGTAATTTCATGCACTTATGATTAATTTGTGTTGATAGAGCTTTTTTTTTTTAAAATTGACCGATACTTGAAAGACTTTGTTTAGTTAACTTTGAAAACCTTAGGTGTTTATTTTTTTTGAAGTTAGGATTTTTCTTTTTTCAATTTTTCTTGTTTTGCCAGTATTTCTACATCTCTTAGGCTTAAAAAAAATTCAATATTTTTGCCTCATTTTTTTGTATTATGGTGACTTTTTCTGTAGGGGAAAGCATAGTGCAGTCATATGTCTTGGCAGGGATTGGAGGCTTTATAAGGAATTCACCATTTTATTGTTCTTGGAAAAGTTACCCACAATTGGACACCATACAGGCTTCAAAAAACCAATTCAGTTTGTGCAAGCATGTTAGAGAAACACAAGCTAAATCTTCAGGATTTGTAATTAGAATGCTAGTCTGCGTTGTAAAATACTGCATGTGAATACCAGTGACTGTTACCTAACAAAGGTTAAATAATTGGGCAAAAAAGGGGCAAAACAAAAACCCGTCAGTGGCCTGTTTTAGTCACAGGCTGAAGCCTTAGCGCTTCATAGTGCAGTGGTAATTTAGGGTTTCGTCACAGTTGCTGAAAGAAGAGTAGGATTTAGTTTTATACAGGTTAGTGTACACTGGTGCTGGGAAGAGTGTATTAAGTGTTCAGTTTTCTGCCGTACCTATACTGTGTGTTTTTCAAAACGATTCTCTTCTTGTGTGTTATCGCAGGGAATGCGGGGGGAAGGTTGTGACTTTTTTTAAAGTAGCAGAAGCATTTCTCATCTGGAAATGCTGAGCATTTGTTTATGCATGGATCACCATATTTCTGAAGAACAGAAGTGAGCTGGGGTTTGATGTTAATTAAGTGTAGAACAACTGGATAACTAACCTTCCAGCTAGGGAATAGTAACTACAGTAAGGGTAGTTTTGCTGTCCTGGGATAGCAGCCCTGACAATCGTCCGTTCTTCAGCGAAAGCATGTTAGTTGCTTTAAAACAGGAGCCTTATTCTGCCCAGTATGTTGTACGGAAGTAATCAGCTTTCAGCTTTTGAGTGGAACTGCACAAAGCTCATTGCCCCTACCAGTTATCTCTGTGGTTGCATTCTTCATTTATCATGCATTCCTTCCCCTTAGCTTGCTGGCATTTCTGTGGAGCTTTTGTCTCTACTAAATATCTTTGTGTTCATTCTCCCTTGGCTGGTGAAATATCTACTGTTGCTGCACAGTGTGGGTGACGGAATGTGCTGCAATGGATTAAAATCTACAAAGTAGAAAATCAAAATGCTACAGTATGTCACAACTGTGAAGCAGTATGTTATGACTACTTGCTTGTCAAATGGGGTGTGGAAACGTATAGCAACTAAGTACAACAAGACTTTTAAAATACACTGTAGGAGAAAAGTATGTCTTTTCCCTTAAAGGAAAGCAGGAAAAAAAGCCAAAGGAGAGTGTGTCGCCTTGTTCTTTTCAATCTAGCCAGAAGATCATACAGCTCTAGATGTGAGCAAAACATTTGCTGTATGTAGTAAAGAAGTTCTTAAAAATGTGTGTCTGGGCAAGGAAACGCTGCGTTGGGGTTTCTGAATGAACTATCTTGAGAAGGTTAGATGAGACCCAGTGACAGTAGAAAAGTTGGCTTATACTCCCAAAATAGCTTTCCTCCCCCATAGAAGATAATTTGATTTTAATTTCTCCTTCAAAAATCTCTCTAACTACTAAGTGGTTTGGCCTTTGCAAAAATTAAGACATTCACATAGAATTTTTTTTTCTCTTCCCTGTTAGTTTCCCACTGGAGGGAAGTTGTATAACTTGCAATTTTAATTTTTCCCAGGGGTATTTCAGATGTTGTGAGCTGTGGGTTCTGCAGCGTGCTGGGGAAGAGGTCCTCTCTCCTGCATCTGATCGAGCTCTGGGAGAAGGCATGTAAATTGGAGTTTTTAACTCATCAGTCATGCTGGAGAGAGGCTTGATCACCTTTCTTCTGCTCTTTTCTTTTCCCCCCGATTATTTTTAAATAAGCTGTAACTTATTTTCATGAAAGTTCTTCTCTCAGATCTGTCAGTGTGGCCCTCCAGGACAAGCAGGAGAGAGGGAGGAGGGTCTTTTTGAAAAGACAGCCCCAAGCTGCCTGGATAAATGCCGTCTTTAGTTTCAGTTGCTATTTCAGTGAGACCACCTCTCATGAAAGCACTTCCACACTGGAAAGTGTACCCCTCAAGCACTCTTCTGAATAGGCTGTTTCATAGAAAGAGAAATCAAAAGCAAATTGTTTTTCTTTGATGTCACTTCAGTTGTGCAGTTCAGATAATGACTACGTAAAGTATATGAGCAAATGATCATGGCATCTCATTGTTGCAGTGCCTCATATGCTGTGAAGTGTATTAATATGTAGATGAAAAATGATCCCTCCAGTACAAGGCAGCAACATTTTTAACTGTGTGGGGTTTTTTTAATATATTTTTTTAATAATCTGATAGCTGGCTCTAATGAAGAGATAAATCCAAGCATCTTCAATCAGGTTATCTGATTTAGGTGCATAACTAATAATTTGTTTACACCTTCTGTAAATTTGAATTCAAAGATGTTATTTTTTAATTCAGTTGTTTAAATCATACAGTGGCTGTCAGCAGATCTATTTTAGGCCTGAAAAAACTTCTGCCTCAACTATGCTTGATATTTCTACATTCTCTTTCAGAATGTTGCTTCTTTCTTTTTTTCATATACTTGCTGAATAGTAACTTTGTTGCAAACTTGTCCATTACTGTACTTTTTTGTTGCGTTTTTAAAAGTGCTAGCACAAGCAGGAGTGTGTCAGTGTAATTTGTACTTATGCTAACAAAATATGTGTTGGCTGGATATTGATAGCAATGTTCCAATACTGATACAGTAATGCAATCAAGTGTTTTTCTCTTAATACTGAGTATCTGTAGGCAGGTTTCAAGGTGTAATTGCCTAATTTCTAGTGAAATTGAGTGGATTTGTATGTTTTATTCTGTTAAACTGAAAATCTAGTTTAAGGATGAAATAATGGACAGTGTCATCAAGTGCGCCCTCAGCAAGTTTGCCGACGACACAATGTTGTGTGGTGTGGTCAACACGCTGGAGGGCAGGGATGCCATCCGGAGGGACCTTGACGGGCTTGAGAGGTGGGCCCAGGCCAACTTCGTGAAGTTCAACAAGGCCAAGTGTGAGGTTCTGCACCTGGGTCGAGGCAATCCCAAGCACCGATACAGGCCGGGCAATGAGCAGATTGAGAGCAGCCCTGGGGAGAAGGATTTGGACATGTTGGTGGATGACAAGATCAATATAAGCCAACAGTGTGCACTTCCGTCCCAGAAAGCCAATCGTATCCTGGGCTACATCAAGAGATGTGTGACCAGCAGGTTGAGGGAGGTGATTCTGCCCCTCTCCTCTGCCCTTGTGAGACCCCCCCGGAGTACTGCGTCCAGCTCTGCAGCCCCCAGCACAAGAAGGGTGTGGAGCTGTTGGAGCAAGTCCAGAGGAGGGCTACCAAGACAGGAGAGGTGTTCCAGCCCTCTGACTAAGAGGAGAGGCTGAGAGAGTTAGGCTTGTTCAGCCTGGAAAAGAGAAGGCTCCGGAGAACTTATAGCAGCCTTCCAGTACCTGAAGGGGGCCTGCAAGAAGGCTGGGGAGGGACTTTTTACAAGGGCCTGTAGTGACAGGATGAGGGGTAATGGGTGGAAGCTGGAAGAGTGTAGGTTGAGACTAGATAGAAGGAAGAAGTTGTTTACCCTGAAGGTGGTGGGGCACTGGAACAAGTTGCGCGGGGCAGTTGTGGATGCTCCTTCCCTGGAAGTGTCCAGGCTGGATGGAGCCTTGAGAAACCTGATCTAGTGAGAGATGTCCCTGCTCATGGCCAGGGGGCTGGAACTAGATGATCTTTGAGGTCCCTTCCATCCCAGATCCTTCTGTGATTCTATGATAATTTGTCAGATAATCACATTAACATCTAGCTTAGACATGTCAGCTAAACCTAAATCTCCTAGTGTCAGTTTTTAAACATCAGCCTTTTCCTTTGGTTTATAAAGGTACCTCATCCATCCTCTTGAACTGTCCTTAAACTTTTCATTATACCAGTTTACTTGTGAATTGGGGAAAATTCTAATTCCTCTCCTACATTCCTTTTATAACTGGCTTTGCAGTTTTCCTGTAGGTGAGTGCATAATTTTATCTGCAAAATGCCAATGAACTTTAAAGGTTTCTTGAGTGATT